CCACAGTGACAATGAGCCTGGCACTGCTGCATGGAACCCCTGGGAGCCCTGCCTGATGGAGGATGGGGAGTTTGAGGCACGAACCACACTGGCAGCTCCCAGTGCATGATGAGGGGATACAGGGTGGGCAGGACCCCAGGGTCCCAGCCCTGGGAAAAGCTCAACACCTCCCAGGGCATCCCTACTTTTAAGACTCTGGGAAATGCACATGCAGTGTTTAATTAACTTTATTGATATTCAGAAATTAGGGGACTGACTAGAGGTAATTGCTCATTAGAAATCATTAAACTGACACAGTAAGCACCAGCCTCCCTTGGGGGAAATCTGCCCTGCTCAGCGCCCTGCTGCCAGGACAGAGCCACTGATATGGACCCCCCATTCCAGTTTTGGTGCCCCCCCAGCAGGGCAGGAGATGGGGGTGCCATGGCATTGCCCCACTTGCTGTCCCCATCCACTGCCTTTCCCAAGAAAGAAGGCTGTGGCAGCAGCCCCAGGCGGCAGGGCGAGCTGGGAATAGCAGCGGGCGCGGGGCCACGGCGCCCTTCCCCGCCTGGGCTCGGCTGCCAGATGGGGAGTTTATGTAACTCCCCGCACGGCTGCTGCCTGCAGCCGGTGCCCACATCCCGCATCCCACCGGGGCCAGCAGGGCTGGACCGCCACCCTCCCATCGCCCCGTGCATGGCCACAGTGCTCCGGGCCACCCCAATCCCTGACAGATCTCCCCAAGCCTTGGAAGCTCCCCAGTCCTATTTTTGGGGCAGCGGAGCCACGAGGCATCGAGCCTGCCGGTGCCCCCCGGGTGGCAGAGACAAGGAGCCGAGCTGGGTGTTGGCTGCTCTCCTTGGCAAACCGGCACCCGCCACCCCCGCGTCCCCCGTGTCCCTCGCGGAGCTGGAGGGGTCACCCCAGCAAGGAAAAGAGGGGGAAAGAACCAAATGCCCCCAGTGCCCCCCACCCGGCAGTGGGGACAGCACGGAGGGACCGGCTCACGGCATAGCCAGCCCGAGGGCGGCTCGAAGGGCTCGGTGACCGCGGGAGCGGGTCCGCCGTGCCTGCCCAGCCCCCGGTAACACCGGCAGAGGGGCGGCCGCGGGAGCCTGCCGGGGGCGGCGTTGCACCAGCCCGGCTGCAAAGCGCTGTGCGCGTCCCCGGAGGGGGCGGCGGTGGGGCGGATAACGGGGAGGGGGGATTCTCGGTTCACCGGGAGAAAACGGAGAGCATCCCCTCCTTACCGGGGGGGCGAGCACGAGTTGGCAAAGTTTGACGGCGACGGAGGCGGCTTGAGGCCACCCGGTAGCGAAGGGCGGTCGGTGTGCGCGGCGGGGATGACCCGGGGTGCCGGTCGGCGCTTACCGTGTGCCGGGGCGCGGAGCAGCGCGGCGAGGAGCGGCAGCAGCAGCGCGGGCGGCGGCCCCATGGCCGGCGGCGGTCAGCACCGCGGACAGCTCCGCTGCGGGCGCGGCGGCGGCGGCGGCGCCCCGAGCGGCGCCCGCCGATACCGGGGACGGCGGAGGGGGGGGGCCCGTAATGCTCCGAGCGCGGCGCACACCAATCCAAGGACCGGGGGGGCTCTCCCCGCCTCCCTCTCAGCCCCCCCTCGCCGTAATGCTCCGAGCGCGGCGCACAGCCGGTGCCGGGGGTGTGCGGAGAGGGGGGGCTCTGCTCGCCTCCCCCTCAATCCCCCCCTCCGTGATGCTCCGAGCGCGGCGCTCGCCGATGCCGGGGACAGGGCGGGGGGCCGGCCGTAATGCTCCAAGTGGGGCGCTCGCTAATTCCAGGGATGAAGGGGGGGCTCCCCCCACCCACCCCTGGCCGTAACTCTCCGAGCGAGGCGCCCTCCAATCCCGCAGGCTGGGAGGGGGGGCTCCTCCCTGCTACCCCACCCCCACGCCGTAACTCTTCGAGTGCGGCGCCCGCTGAAGCTGGAGATGAAGGCTGGGGGAGGGGGACCGCCTAACCCCCCCTTCCTCCCCGAATCCCGGCAGCCCTTCGGGGTGGGAGCCACCGAGGGCTGTGGGAAAGGTGCTCGGTGCCCACCTCACCATATCCTGCCTCCCCACCCTCCTCACCACAGCCACGTCCCTTCCCCCAGTCTCCTCTTCCCCATCCCTAAACAGCCCAAATTAGGGCTGGGCTCATCATCCTCCATGCAGAGACACCTGGACACGGAACAGCACAGAGTGGGGCTGGTACTCCTTATGGTGGGGTTGCAAGAGCCCCTCCCCAGCCCCCTGCCTCGGGGTCCCGGAGGGCAGCCAGCCCTGCAGTGGGCAGATGGTGCTGGCACCGGCACCGAGCAGCTCCATGTCGGCTGATGGACGGCTCTTGCGGGTGTTAAAAATATATTTTTAAAAAATCTCTTTGTTTAATAACCCCCTCCCCATCGCTCCAAAAGCCCAGATGGCTTCGCCTCGCCGGATCCCCCGCAGCCCGGCCAGCCCCGCTGCACACACAGCCCACGCAGCCAGCTCCGGTGGGGGTTTAATTTTAATCCCAGGTCCTGCTTTGCCGACATGCATCATTCCTGCCCTGGAGAATGGCATGGCTTGGCATGGGGAGCCGAGAGCAGAGCAGCAGCCAGTCCCAAGTCATGGGCTGTGTGCCACCAGCCCCGTGGCACTGTCTGTTGTGCCACCAGCCCCACGGCTGTGGTGCGAGCGGGGCTGGAAGTGATGCCAGGATCCTCATCCCGGGGGTGCTGCCGGCTCTTCTGCAAAGCACTTTCAGCTCTAAACCCAAAACTTTGATCCGCCAGTAGCGCCATCAATGTTTAATGCAGCAAAGCCCTGGTAGGGCTCGGAAGACGAGCATTTTGAGGCCAAATTGAAGTTTCTAATATTATGATATTCAAATAATTTTAATCTGCCTGATGCATCCCCAGGCATGTACCTGGACTGCTAATGAGGGGCTGCCTTCAGCCGCTGTTGCTTTTGACAGAAAACAAACAATTCTTTGCAGGTGCCATCAAAGGGTTGGGAAGGCAGAGGTCTGGGGAGGAAAATGGGGGCAAGCATGCATGGAGCCAACACTGCAGCTGGGAGAGAAGGATGCCGTGTTTGCCTCAGCTCCCTGGGGAACAGCGTTGCTCCCTAATTCTTTTTTAAGTGTTGGTTTGTGCTTGGTGAAAAATAAGGCTGGTATAGATGGATGATGGGATTTCGGGAAACTTCTGTCCCACTGTACAGTGGACAAAAAGGTGCAATGGTTGCAGAGTCCAGCACCCTTCAAATTGCATCCGATCCTTGCCCAGCCTTGGCCAAAGTTCCTTGTTCCCCACTTCCCCAGTGCCACGTAGGTCTGAGCTAGGGCAGCTCCACACCCTGTGCCAGGCAGCTCCCCAAACCCCCACTTCCCCCTCCCCATGCCATTGCCAGGCCCGAGTTTTCCCATCCATCCACCCAGCCCACGCAGGGAATATTTCATTTTTACTGAGCTCTCCTGACCCACACCAGCTGCTTAGGGAAATGGATTTCCTGCTGACACAAGCACTGCTTCCAGTCAGTACAAACCCAGGTGAAGGGGGCATAGCAGGGGTGATGGAAACCTTGGCACAGGGCTGGGGGGACCCGCAAAAAATTCACCCTAAGGCAAGTTGAGGTCCTTCAGCTGGTTTTTGGGCTTTGGGGGTGCAGACCTCCCTGACGCCTGCGTTCAGCCCTGGTTGGGGTCACCTGCAGGACAAAAGCTTGAGGGGTCCAACAGAGCCCTGGGGATGGTGATTTGCATCTCACCAAAGGTCTCACCCTCTCTGTAACCTCACGAGCAAGGCTTTTCCCGTTCTATTACCACACTGCTAACGGGAGAGGAGTTCATTTTTACCATTTAATGTTTCACGGATAATTAATTATTCTTCATCTTTCCAACAAAAAAGGAAGAGCAAGTACAGGGGCTATTCAAAGCAAAAAAAAAAAAAAAAAAAAAAAAAAAGTCAGCCGAAACCCAGGGAAATTGCTGAATTATTTGTAACATCAAAGGCGAGCGAGGATGTGCTGATTTAACGGGGCCGCGTGCGATGCAGAGCCCTGGGCATGGTGGTGATGCTGAGACTGGGATGCACTCATTGCAGCAGTGGTCATGGGCACTGGGGCGGATGAGGGGTCTGGGGGGGCACCCCAATCTCTGCCTGTGCTGCCCATCCTCCTCCTCTCACCTCCCCATCGCTGCGAGCTGCCAGTTCTGCCTTTGCACGATGTTGGGGTGTCCCCGTGACCTGGTGGGAGCCTCCAGTGCTCCCCAGTGCTTCATTCATCACCAGAGGCAAGTGGCAAAATAAATAATGATATTTAACATTTTGTAATAACGACAATTAACCAGTAAATAATGCCTTTTACACCGCAGAAGCCAGAGTAAATTAATTCCCCTAATTAGCTGTCAGGCAGCGTGGGACAGTGGTGGCAGTGAGCAAAACTGGCAGCCCCTGTCTGTGTTATCCCCCCACTCTGAGGCATTGTCCCCAGACCCCAGTCACACCCCAACATTTTACAGATTTGCAAAATCCACCATGCTGCATCCTGGCAGCTCTGGTGAGCCCTAAAACACCCCTATCTCCCGTTAAAAAAAAAAATAACAACAAAAAGATGGTGACAAAGTGGTTTATGGCTGTAATAAATTGTGCTGGAGGAAAAAAAGCCTCATTTGCCTGGAAGCAAGGGGGGGTTTCCCATTGGCACACAAATAGAAGCCCTGTGTCCCACCACAGCTGGAGCCAGCAGTGACCAGTGGAAAGGGAATTATTGGAAGTGGTTTTCCTTCACATCTATGCCACCCTGATCAGCTGAGCTGCCTGCCCTGGTGGGACCAGGCGTTGGTGTTGGTGGGGGAATGAAAATATTCGTGCCTGGCCAGCTGCAAGGGGCAGGAGGAGTGTGTCCCCGTGTCCCCACAGAGCTGGAAGGTGGCCAGGGCTCCACCACCCGCGGGGCTCGGCTGGACTCTGCCCCGTTCCTCCCCTTGGCCTCCTCCCAGCAGCCACAGGGACAGCAGCAGGGACGAGGACAGCCATGCCTGCCCCCAGCCAGCCCCAGAAGTCTACCTACGATGTCATTGTCATCGGGGCCGGCATCCAGGGCTCTTTCACTGCCTACCACCTGGCCCAGGGCCACAAGGACACTCTGCTGCTGGAGCAGGTATGGTGACCCCATTCTGCCACGTCCCCATTCCCGACAGGCTGGGAGGGTGCCTGCAGACCTGGCTGCCCTCCACCGTGGCACAGAGCAGAGCTGCTGCTGGCACTGCAGACGCCAGTGCCAGGACACCCTGTCCCTAGTGCCAACACCCTCATGTCCCCAGTGCCAGGACACCCATTTCCTGCTGTTTCCCGGTGCCGTGGGTGACAGGACAGCCTGTGTCCCCAAGGTGCCCTCTGCCACGCGGTTCTGGTGCGCATGGGGCTGGTGGCACTGAGGGTGGCAGTGTCTGTGGTCACCCCCCTGTCCTCTCTGCCCCGCAGTTCCTCCTGCCCCACTCTCGGGGCAGCTCTCACGGGCAGAGCCGCATCATCCGCAGCGCCTACCCGCAGGAATACTATTCCCGCATGATGCCCGACTGCTTCCGCCTCTGGCAGCAGCTGGAGGCCGAGACCGGCACCACCCTCTACAGGTGATGGGGACAGGGACGCAGCCACCGCCGGGCACGGTCCCCTCCCCGCGGGACAAGGGGCGGTGACCTTTGGGTGGGATGCGGCTTCCTTGGCAGGCAGCTGCCAGTTCCTGGAGATTTATGGGGCTCCACGAGGGAAATGTCATTAAGGAAATGAGCACCTAAATGATCCTCCGGTGCCGGGGTCAGGGCTGATGGCCCTTGCTGTATTTAGGGGGGAGAGTGTGATGTCAGTGTCCAGACCCTCCCCATGCATCTCACTCTGCCCTTGTCCCCTGCATCCCACCGTGCGGTGCCCCAGCACCAGGGTGTAGCACACCCCAAGCATCACTGCTGTCACCGTGCCTCAGTTTCCCCCAGGGGCAAAGCAAGCTGGGGGTCCATGCAGGGAGGGGGAGCAGGGCGAGCTGACGTGACTGGCGGGATGCAGGCAGACGGGACTGGTGGTGCTGGGGCGGCCGGGAGAGCTGGAGCTGGAGGCCTGCAGGAGGAGCCTGGGCGTTGACGAGCTCCTCGACGCCGCGGCGCTGGCCCAGCGCTTCCCTGGCTTCCAGCTGCAAGCTGGCCAGGTGGCCGTGCTGGACAGCACTGCCGGGGTGCTCTTCGCTGACCGGGCACTGCGGGCAGTGCAGGTGGGTGCTGCTGAGGGGATGGAGTGCTTTGGGATGGTTTGGGATGGGATGGGATGGGATGGGGGTCCCCTGGCTCTATTCTCGCAGCCACCTCCTGTCACCCTCCCCACCCAGGAAGTTTTTCGCCGGCACGGGGGCACCCTGCGGGACGGGGAGAAGGTGCTGCGCATCGAACCCGGGGCCACGGTCACTGTCACCACCACTGCGGGGGTGTACAGAGCCCCCCGGCTCGTCATCACGGCCGGAGCCTGGACTGGTGCCTTCGTGGAACAGCTGGGTCTGCGCCTGCCGCTGCAGGTAAAGGTTGGTGACACGGGGGGGTGGCACAGACATGGCCAGAGCTAATGGAGTGATTCCAGCCCCTGCGCATCGATGTCTGCTACTGGAGGGAGAAGCAGCCTGGGAGCGCTGGTTTGGGCAGTGTCAGTCCCTGCTTCTTGACCCTGGGGCTGAGCCAAGCCCCCCACGGCATCTACGGGCTGCCCTCCATTGAGTACCCAGGTCTGATGAAGGTGAGCAGGGCACAGCTGAAGGTGGGGGATTCCCTAACCAGCCCACCCTGACCAGTTGTGCTCCAGGTGTGCCACCACCACGGCAGCCCCATTGACCCAGAGAAGCGGGATCAGGTCCCCTCGAGTGCCCCCCGCCCTGACATCGCCGTTCTGAGCGGCTTCATCAGCAGCTATCTGCCCGGGCTGGAGACCCAGCCCGCGGTGAGGGAGACCTGCCTCTACACGGTGAGACCCTCCCCAGGGCACTGATCCAGACATCCGGGGTCCTGAGCATTCCCCCACCGCAAGGTGGACCCTACCCTGTCCCCTCACCTGCACACCCTGGCTCCCCAGAACACTCCAGATGGAGATTTCATCCTGGACCGGCACCCCAAGTTCAGCAACATCGTCATCGGCGCCGGCTTCTCAGGTAGGCAAGGGCAGCCACCTCCCCAACCCAGCACGCCAGAGCTGTCCAGGGTCGTGGGGATGGTTGTGTCCCCACCTTCCCTCTCCTTCCCACAGGCCATGGGTTCAAGCTGGCACCAGTGGTGGGGAAGTTGCTGTGTGAGCTGAGCCTGGGCGAGGAGCCATCCTACAACATGGCCCACTTTGCCATCACTCGTTTCCCTGGTGTGCTTGGGGCTGCACAGTAGGTGTGGGGCTCCAGACATGCCCCCATGGCATTGCACTGGCCTGCAGCTGTGTCCCTGCATCCCAGTGTCCTCACACCCACTACACCTCCATCTCCATGTATCTCCACCTCCCTACACCCTTGGGACTCCCAACATGCTGCATTCCTCCAACCCCACACCGAAGATACCCTGTACTGCCACATCCCCACATTCCACCATCCCAGAACCTCTGCATCCTTGCTTCCCCACATCCCTGCATCCTGGTACCCTGCCCCCCCACATTGCAGCACCCCAGCATCCCCCGTGCCATGCGGTGCCAAGCCATCTCTACCAAGCACCCACTCCTGGGGAACAAATTAAGAAGCTTTGTCAGCCTCATGAAGATGGAGCAGGAGCAGCGCGGAGAGACACACTCGCTTAGGAGTCAAGTTAAATGTTTTAATGTTAAATGTGCCATTTTATTATCATTAGATCGCTCCCACTTAATGAAAGCGCATTAGCGCAGCGTGGCTTTATGGCAGCGAGCACCGAGCTTGGCCTGTGTGCTTCCAAGAGATACTGGGGAAAGGGAAACAACCTGCCGAGGAGTCAGGGGGGTCCCCAGGGTGCAGGCTGTCCCTGGGGCCAGGTGCAGGGCACAGCACATGGCATGGGGACAGCACAGGGCCAGGGCCGAGGCTGAGCTGTGCAGGCAGCCAGCAATGCACATCATCATCTCCTCCGCGTTAATTATTTAACGCCAGCAGGCAGAGGCTATGTCCCGCTGCTCATCTGCATATTTATGAAGATTGATAAATGATTCAGCACTGGCACCCACGAGGGCTTCCCCCCCACTCCCCTCCCCAGCACCCATGGGTGCAGCAGGTTCAGGGAAGAGGCCGGACTTGGCCTTTCCATGAAGCCCTGAATCCTTGCTGGGGTTGGATGTATTCCATCAGACCCTTCCACCGTGCAAACACCCTCCCCCAAAACAGGAAGACCCCACCAGGCACATGGAGCAGGCAGCAGCCAGTATCACCAGCCAGAAATGACGTTTATTTTCATACTGAAAGTAAAGGGGGTGGGGGAAGATGCACAGCTGGGCTAGTGCAAAACAGCCAGGCAGAGGTGGGGGGCTGAGGGGGGGGGGTCACAAAAACCCAGGTGGGCACACGGGACCCTCGCCCCATGTCCCCTTCCCGGCTGCTCCCCAGGGCCCGGCCAGCGAGAGACGTCTTTGGCTCAACTAAAAGGGGTGTAAGAGGACGGCAGGGTCCCGAAGGGGGGAGTTTAAGTTACAAAACAAGGTGCCAGCAGGCACTGAGGAATAAATCCCGGGTGCCGGAGCAGCCGACTCCGCCGCCAAGGACAGACAGGAGGTGGGAGGGTGGGGGGTGCAGCCAGCGAGCCGGCCGGGCTGCTCCTCCCGTGGCTGGAGCCGGGGGGCGGCTGCGTGTGTCCCCCCAACCCGTGCAGAAGAAATACCGGCTGCCCGGGCGGCTCCCGGGGCTGAGTGCTCCCGGGGCGGCGGGAAGCGGTGGTGGGGGGCTAGGCGGGGGTCTCGGCAGCCCGGCTCTCCGCCTCGCTGGCACTGGGGGAGCTGCGGGAGGAGCGACGTGTGCTGTCCCCGGCGTCCTGCTCATCGTCCCATCTGTCGTAGGTGAAGGTGTGCCGGGAGCTCGTGGGGCTGTGGGAGAGAGCGGGGTTAGGGGGGGTGACGAGGGGCTCCATGTCCCCAGCATGGCTTGGCTGCTGAGCTCAACTCCCCTCCGGCTGCAGCGGGAGCTGCAGTGAGCCAGCATGCTGGCAGTCAGCTGGATGGAGCCTTGATTGCCTCCTTTTTTATTCTTTCCGAGATATTTGGGACATGCCTCGCTGCAAACAACTCCTCGCTGCGCCGAGCTGAGCCCCTGCTCTGCAGTGGGGCCGAGCTGAGCCTGCTCAGGAAAAGGCTCGTGGCCCTGAACGCCAACACCAGTGCCCCCAGACCCCTGAGGGTCCTGGTTGTACCCGAGCCCAGGGCTGGGTGCTGGGGGTGCTGCTCCCCGGTACCCCATGATGCCTTCCCTTCCTCTGGGATAGACAGCTCAAGGCAATCACATTTCCAAAAGGCTTCTTTCCCTTCCTCCAGCCACTCTCCTATTCAGCCATCAGAAAGGATGAAGCCTGCTCTGAAATTGCTGCCAGAGAGCCCAAACACACCCTCTCTGCATCAAACAGCATGCAGAGCTCCAGAGTCCTGCAGGTTGATGCCAATTCACACCCCGAACTCCCATCACAGGCACCCAGCAGGACACAAGGCAACTCTGTCTTCCAGCAGCCCAACCTGGTCCCCCCCCCGCCATGGGTGCAGCCTCCCCCCATGCTCACACACTGGGTGCGTGTTAGTACCCATCCCACTCCCCTCTGCTCCTGGGGGCTGTGCTGCCCATCAAACCCTTAACAATTTCCTGAAGGAATAAATCCAGATGTGTCCTGGCCGATGGGGAGCCAGGAAGGGATTAGCGCTTCCTGGTGTCCCGCAGCTGCTAATCCTGACCACGCTGCGTCCTGGCAGCACGGGCAGCGCCGGTCCCGCTGCGGCCACGCCGGGGATCTCCCCACCGATGGAGATGCCCAAAGCAGGGCTGCTGCAGGCACAGCGGGCTGCCCCATCCCGGGCTGCCCATGCCGGCGGAGGAGAGCTCCGGAGTCAGGAGAGGGTTAGGGCGAGCGGTTAGTGGCACACGGGGAGGTTCATGCTGCACGGCACACACCGCTCCCACCTCCTGCCTCAGTCGCTCTCGGGACGGTACAGGTACTTCATCATCAGGTTGTCCACCTGCTTTTTCCGCTGCTTCTCCTCCTTCTTGGCCCGGGCAGGACGTGTCGGCTCCTCGCTCCCCGCCCCCCGCGGGCCCTTCTTGACACTGGAGGTGCTGCGGTAGGAGCTGGTGGAGCTGGAGGAGGACTCGGAGGAGGAACTGGACTCGGATGATGACTGCTGCTTCTTCTTCTTCTTCTTGGATTTCTTCTTGCTTTTCTTGGCACGCTTCTTGGAGGTCTTCTTCTTCTGCTCCTCCTCTTCCTCGGAGGAGCCCGAGCTGCTGCGGCACCGGCAAGTGTGCCGGGAGAAGTCGAGGGCGGACGCGGAGCGGCGCAGGCTGCCGGAGGGGCGGTCAGCGGCGCCCAGGGGGGCCGCGCTCCGGACACTCCGGACACTGCGGACACTGCGGACACTCCGGCCGTCGTCCCCCGAGTCGGGGCTGGAGTAGCCCCTGGCCGGCAGCGGGCGGTAGCTCAGCACCTCTTGGATGGCGGCTTCCAGGTCGGGGTCGAGGTAGGAGCGGTGCCGCACGGGACGGGCGTCCCCAGGAGCCTCCTCCTCGGAGGCCGCGCTGCGGGGCCGTGGGGGCACGGAGAAGCTGCGCCCCAAGAGGGGCTGCCCGCGGGACCCCTCGTCCGCCTCATCCAGGCGGCTGCGAGCCAGGGAGAGCCGCGACTCAGGGCGACCCTCGGGGCCCCCGCGCCGGCTCCGCAAGCTGCCGGGGCTGGAGAGGGCGAAGCTCAGCACCGAGCATCCCTCGTCCCCATCGTCGCCGTCCTCCAGCCCGCGCCAGGAGGCGGAGGAGACGCGGCTCACTGGGGCGGAGGCGACAGACGCTTTCTCTACGTCGGTGGCCGAGAGGGACCACCGCTTGTCCAGCCCTTGGCGAGCCCGGCCGCTGGCGTCGGCGAAGGCTCGGGCGATGACGGCCGCCCGGTCCTGGGGCTCGCCGCCGCGGGCCGCCCGGCGCGGAGGGCGCTCGGGGGAAGGCGGCCGCTCGCCCAGGGCGCTGAACAGCGTCTGCTCATCCCCGAGGCCGCCTATGGAGTCCTTGAGGCCCGGCCGCTTCCTGTAGCTGAGGGAGCTCAGCACCGACACCGGCCGCTCCTCGGGCTCGGGGCCGTCCGGCGGGGCTGACCTGCGCCGCGGCACCGCGGCCCCGCACGCACCGGGGAGACAAGAGAGACACGGAGATGAGCGGGCGAAGGAGGGGCCGACGAGGCGGCCTCGGCAATTTGCGTCAGCGGGAAATGGCATCGTGGAAAAATGTCATGTAAATGGGGGAATTGTTCTAGCCCAGCACTTTGATCCCCCTTTAAAGTGTTGCCTTCAATTTATTTCATTGTCGGCTACCTGGAGCCGCTGCGTTTGATTCCCGACTTCAGAAAAGGTGGAATTATCTCCAATAACAAAATGTTTTACATCTGCACTGCTGAATAAATTAAACCAATTAACAGAAACCAGCTCAGATCTTTCCCCCCTGCTCGGCAGAGGGAGGGAGTCCCCTGGGACTCCTGGAGCCCTGCTAGGAAATTGGGTTTGGATAAAAGCAATCTGTGCTCAGCAGGCAAGCGTTTTCCAAGGGGGAGTGGGGCTGTGTGCCTCAGCCTCATGCCGTGGGTGCACCTGGGCATGTTCCCCACCTCTGCCAACATTTTCTGAGAGGTGTGGGGAAAGATGGGGTGGGGCTGCAGAGAAGGGCAGGATGGAGCAGGGAATCAGTCCTGGAGAGATGGAATGCTGCACAGAGCTAAAGCCCAGCACCACAAGCCCTGGGAGGCAGATGAGGTGGGGGCTGTGGATGCCTCATATGCCTCCATGGTGGGATGAGGGAAGGGAGACCAGGGAGTTCCCCCTGGGCGGGGGGGATGTGTGTCCCCAGCATTAATCCTTCCCTGGCCATCCACGCAAGCACCAGGTGGGAACACAGCACCAAATGCCACATCCCAAAGGCATCCACCCAGCCCTATCCATGTCCCAGCACAGCTCAGCACGTCCTCTGCCTGCCAGCCCCATGCCCAGCCCTGCACTCACCTGCTGCCTTTCAGGCTGCCATCATCAGAGAGCGCTTTGGAGGAGCCTTTGTTCTTGGAGAGCCAAGACTTCACCCCATCCACGCGCTCCTCCAGCTCCGAGTCCACATCTGAGTCACCGTCGCTGCCGGAGGAGCGGGTCAGGGTGGAAGAAAGCAAGAGGTCAGCAAGAGGCAATGAGTTTTTGGGTGCTGGAGAGATGGAAGTGCACTGGAAGGCAGTGAACCCCTCCAGCACCCACTGCCTGTGTACCCTGGCATGGGTGAAACGCCATCCTATGGTTCTGCTCCATCTCTGGGACATAATCTGCACACACATAGTTCAGCCTGCAAGCCAGGAGCTCCCTGAAGCACCCCCAAAT